GAAAGATGTATATTTTAAATCCTAGGGTAAGCACAAACATTTTTGAAAATGAGATATAAAAAAGTAAGCCAATAGTGGAGATAAAATGGAGTTAAAAATAGTCAAATAACTTAAAAGAAAGCAGAAAGAGATGGGACAAACAAAACTGCTACAAAATGTTAGATTTTAATCCAACCATATTAATAATTACATTAAATGTAAATGATTTAAACACACCAATTGAATGACAAAATTGTTGTTTGAATAAAACAAAACAATTTTATTAAAAAAATCTAAGAATATACTATCTACACGAAACTCACTTTAAATATAAAGACATAGACAGGTTAAGAAGTGAAATCTGGATTTATCCTCTGTTTATTAGGGTGGACAAAAAGTCCAATATCAGGCACTGTTGCCATCTCTTCTCTACCCACAGAGAGATTGCAGAAAACTATTAGAGCCTGTGGGTAGACAGGAGACCTGGCCCTGAGTCTACGGAGAGCTCCACTTGTACTACTACATGATGCCATTGTCAATTGCTCCTTAGTGGTCTCCAAGAATTGCTGCCTTGGGCAGGGTGAGAAACACCTTTTACAGCGGTCTTCTCTACTGACCAGACTCAGCTACAAAGAACCGACCTACCTCTGCTCTCAGTGCTGTGCGCTTGGTGACACAAGAAACACAGGAGCCACTCAAGTCCCTACCATTTGTGGAATCTAATAGTTTCCCATCCTTCCATGTCTTTCTTTTCCCAGATTGGATCCCTCCCTTCTCTTGAATAATTCATCTCCATTCTCCAATTAGCCTACTTTAAAAAAATAAAAACATCCTATCTTTTCCATGGTGACCAATATGTCCTAGTCTTGGACTTACAAATCTCTGGCTTCTCTCGGTAAAGGGGGCTATGGTGCGGGGAAGGAAGTACCTGTGTATCAGACTTGCATTCACCTGCAAACAATAAACCTAGAGTTGCTCGAGCAAATACAGGTTTATTTTTCTCACTCTGTAGGAAGGTAAGGGCTGGCCTTGGTTCTGTAAGTCGGTGATGTCAGTGTTGATGTATCTGGGGTTCTCCTGAACTTTTTCTCATGGTTACAAGACGGCATTACAGATCCAGCCATCAGTTCTGCATTCAGGAGAGAAAGAAGAGGGTAGAAGGGAAGAGGCAACATGAGTCTCATCTGTTTTCTCTTTTCAGGAAAGTAGACTCTTTCTCAGATCCCCGTCTCTCTTGACCCGCAGGGCCAGGTATGTCCCACGGGCCAGAACTGGTTCCCAGGCCCCCTCCAGATGCAAGGGAAGTTGGAAAAGCAAGTGTTCTGTGTTTCCGGCTGCACAGTGAGAGGCATAAATGCAAAAGGGGTTTGGGGATGGCTTTTTAGCAGCTATTTAACATTATCTTCCAAAACCCCTCATTCTTTCCTGATGAGTAGGAAACAAGTCAGAGTCAATTTCTCAAAAATAATATCCTGGCCCTTGGGTCCTAGCAGGTTGTTACATAAATGTGATGTCCAGACATGCAGGTAAGAACCATTGCACTTCAGGAGGAAAAGAAAGAGCAGAGCACACTGTGCTTCAGAAATAGGGGGGAAGTGGCCAGAGGACCAGTGTTGGAAGAGTTGGGAGTGAGATGAGGAAGAATTACAGAGATACTGACACAGAGAAGCATACAGCATTAACAGCCTGAGGGCCCAGCACCCACACGGCCCACGTCAGGAGCAAAAAAGGGAAGAAATGGCAGATGCTGTGCTGTAGCCACATGCATCACATCTGTGTGCACAGAGAAGAACATTCTCTGTGGACTGACTGGGTTAAAAAATTCTAAGGGCCGAGTCAAAGTGATACTGTTTGTTACTGTCATTTCAATCTTACCATATGTCCAGGCTGGAGTGGGAAAACATAAGTTACATATTTAAACCTGTTGTGTCAATAAAATTGTACTTGGCAGATGTACTTTCTTTATAATTTTGAAGAAAAGATGCTTTGACATAAATAAAAACTATCTGATAGTTGAGAGATCATTGAGAGTAAAAACTCAGAGGCCAGAGAAATAGAGACAAAATCTTCCATTCAGCCCTAACTGGTTTGGCTCAGTGGATAGCGCAGTGATAATTTCTATATGTGACACGGCACCAGAGTTAAGTTAGGGTTTTTCAAAATGCTGACACGCCGAGCTCAAAAGGTTCGCCATCACTGGGATAGATTGTCAGCCTGTGGACTGAAGGGTCCTAGGTTCGATTCCAGTCAAGGGCATGTACTTTGGTTACCGATGTTTCTAACTCTATCCCTCTCCCTTCCTCTCTGTAAAAAAATCAATAAATATGTATTTTTAAAAAAAATCTTCCATTCAATTCCATATTCCAATTCCACAAATTGTAATTCTTTTATGCTATCAATTAAACTCCTTTTCTTCACACAGGCCCAAATCATTAAGAATTATACTTGTGTGTGTAAATGTGAATACATACACATAACAACACCTTCTCTCTTGTCCCCTTTTCTCTTATCAATTAATGTAGCTATTTAGCAAATATTTATAGAGCACCTATTTTCCTCCTACCCTTTCCTTTTTCCTACACTGCGGACCTTAGGAAAGTCATGATGGGGATTATAAGTTTGGGCTGAGAAGATATAAGAGAAAACATATCCACTCTGGGTGGATATGCAGAAACTTCTCCTTTTCCCTCCTATCGCAGGTCCTGGAAGCAGAGATCAGTAATAAGTTAGGAGGATCAGTTACGTGTCTAGCTCTCCCACTATCATGCTGGGCATGTCACAAGACTTCTCTCTGTTTCACTGCCTTTTCACTGGGACAACACTGGTATTATTCCTTTATTTTTCCTTCTCCTTTCATCTCTCTTGTCCAACTACCTAACAGATCTGTTACACAGATAAATAAGATATTGCTGGTCACGTTTCTCTGGGGAAAAAATAAAACCAAACTATACATGAAAAACATTTTTTTTAATGGAGCTTTTATGCCTACCAGCACTGGGTCAGCTCAGGAGGGCTGTGCACTGTCTTGAGAGTGTTAGAGAACTGCTATCCACATTTGTGTGGCTGTCTTTTCTATTTCTAGATGTTAACCAGAATGCATTTTTGCTTCCTTCGCTGTCTTAACTGATACCCCAATCTAAGTTATGTCCATGTACGATAACTTATCATTCCCTATAATTTTTTTTTTTACTATCATCACATTCATGTATGCAACCTATAGTTGATGAGTATCTACAGTGTGCCAGGCACTCAGTGTTCTAGGCATTGGAGATATGAAAGTGAATGAGACAAAAGTTTCCATATTCTTGAATCTTACATCTTAATAGGAGAGACACACAATAAACAAATAAACACACAGACACAGACACAGACACACACAGTGTCAGGGGATGATAAGAACTAGAAAGAAAATAAGGCAGGCCAAGACGGCAGTGAGAAAGAGGTGGGCAGGGAGGACTGTTTTAGTAGTTTAGTCTGAAAAGTTGACATTTGAATAGGGACATGTGTGAATGGAAGAAGAGGGCCATCGTAATATCTAGGGAAACAACATTCGAGGCAGAAGGGCATAAATGACAAGGCTCCCAAGTGGGAATGTGCAGAGCAAACTCAAGAAATAGCAAGAAGAGTGGAAGGGAAGGTGAACAGAGAGGCGGGCAAAGCCCAGATCTTGTAGATAGAGCCTTACATGTCATGGTAAGCATTTCACTCTAAATGCGATGAGAAGCCATTGAAAGGGTGTACACAAGGAAATGACTTGTCATAGTCAGACTTTCTTTTTTATTATCTCTGATTGCTGTATAGAAAATAGGACAAAAGGAAGGATAAGAAATACCCGGGTGGCGGGGGGTGGGGAGGGGGATCTACTGGAATGATAGAGATGATAGATAATGATGTATCGAATAGTGATGAAAGCAGTGGGAAATGGTAAAATTGTGATATAGGCTGAAAGTTAATCCAATAGGATTTTTCTGGTAAGTTGAATGAGGAGCATGAAAGAAAGAAAAGTTGTGTGCAATTCCAAAATGTTTGGCCTGATCAACTGACTGAATAGGGCTTGCATTTAACAAAAAAAGTGAACACTAGAGGAGAAGGAGATTTGTGCGAAGTTAAGAAGGGAATTCAAAGGTCAGTTTGGGACAGTTTAGTCTGAGATGCTATTAGGTATCTTAGAGGCAATGTTGAGTAGGCAAAAAGATAAGGAAGGATCAAATTTAGAAAAATAGCTGTGGCTGAAAATATGAACTTAAGAGTCATGAATACATTTAGGAATCATAAATATAGGAGTCAGTCCATAGAATTGGAAATCAACTGAAGAAATGTTTAGAAAAAGAGGGTGTGATCAATTGCATTAGATGCTTTTGATTGATTGAAAATTGACCATTAGGTTTAGACAGAAGAAAGTCAGTGGATTCAGTGTTTTATTGGGATACAGATCCTCAGAGTTTTAATTAGACATTTTATGACATTTATTACTGAAGACTTGTTATATCGATCTCCCCAGCCAGATTGTAAATTTCATGACAGTGAGGATGATGTCTCTTTAATTTTTTTCAGAAATATTTTTATAGATTTTGCAGAGAGAGAGAGAAACATCGATGAAAGTGAAGTGAAACACATGGATTGGCTGCGTCCCCTACCAGGAATTGAGGCGGCATCACAGGCGTATGCTCTGACCTCGAATTGGACCAGCAACCTCATGGTGCACAGGACGATACCCAACCAACTGAGCCACCCGGCCAGGACAGGATAATGTCTCTTTTAGTCATTAATTTATTTTCATTGTGCAGCCCTGTGTCTGGCACAGAGTACGTGCTCCATACATATCTATGGGATATTCCATCTGTTCAGATTATTTCACAGAAATTAACTGTCAGGAATTCCCTTGAGGTCATTTGGTAACAATAGAATGGAAATGGGTAATTTATAAAGTCATTTTAATAAATACTGACTTTGTCAGTTTAAATTGTATATGCGTTTCAAAGTAAACATATACATGATATACCTGATATTTGGTAACCCAGGGTTTAAAAATGCATGTTTAAAGTAAAGAATTAGTAAAGTAAAGCAAGAGAGGGAGGGAGAGAATTTCTCCCGAGGTTGTTTCCCTGAGAGAGGAAAATAAAGCATGTCAGTGTTCGGAGCTGGGCCGGTACCTGAGCACATTTCCCGTATATGCTCACTCAGGCCGCAGTACAGATTCTAGACTAGGTAAGATCTAAGGTTCGTCATTTGTTCATACTGGTTCAGACTTTCACTTTGCTTAACTTCCTAAAACCAAAATAAATACCATGAAAAATTGACTTTTTTTTTCTCAGATCACTAAGGAGCATTTGGCAAGTTACCATATTAGTGCATCTAGTCTCTTCTGCCCCGCCAGTGTTCAGTTGGCTGAGCATCCTCGCATGCACTGGGAAGTTGCTGGTTCAATTCTTGGTCAGGGCACATGCCCAGGTTTTGGGCTCAATCCCCAGTGAAGGGCGTGCAGGAGGCAGCCAATTGATGACTCTCTCTCATCAATGTTTCTATCTCTCTCTCTCTCCCTTTTTCTTTCTAGAAAACCAATTAAAACATATTTTTTTTAAAAAAGAATAGCCTCTACTATCCTAAAAAGGTTAATGTAGCTTCCCAGCGCTACCTAATTTGCTCCAAGTTTGTGGCTTTAAAATCTGGTCTGATGTGTATCTATACAGGGCAGAAACCTGGATGTGAGCAGCTCATGCCCACTGGAATCATAATTAAAATCAGACAGGCTGACGGGATACAAAGATGATTGAAATATACTCATGAGGAAATAGGGGCCATTTGGAGAGGTCACAAGACTCTTGTCATGTTAAACATACTTCTGGCAATGTCACTGAATGAAAACGGCCTCTTGGAAAAAGTGTTTTTTGAGAAAAAAAGACGAGAAAGGCAAATTTCCCAGAATTTCGCTTGCTATTAATACACAGCGTGTTTACCAAGCCAATTATCATATGGAGAAAAAATGGTAGGGAAAAGAAGAAGAACTCAGTCAGTAGTGACTGGTCTGTAACAGAAATGTGAATTGTGCCAATAATACTGAACTCCAAGCCTGAACTATTCCTGGAGCTGCCGATCCTGGAAAACACACTGAAGGCTGCTGTCGTGTCTTTGCACAACTTCCTCTTGCCCTTTGAAGAGAAAAGGGAAAGGAGAGTCACAGGGCCAGGGCCAAGGCTGATTGGCTGTTACCATGACCTTGGGGGATCCACAAGCCTGGAAACTGAATTAACCTTTTCCCCTTAAGTATTGGGTCTGAAAAATAGCTCTGTTTTATGTGGTCGAGAGGAAAGAATCCATTCTGGCTCTTTCTAAGTGCTTGTGGGTATAAGCCTGAGTTATTTAAGGTGGAGTAAACCTGTAGGAATGTTTGTTTCATTTAAAGTCTGTGACTGAAAGTCTGTTCATGCTCAACCTGCCTCAAACGCTGGTGATTCATCAGTTGAGTCCACATGCATTATTGAGCACCTATTATGTGCTCTTCTCGGTGCCAAGCTCTGTGGTTTTAAAGGTAAATCTGGTAAGCAGAGACCAACATGTAAGCCTATAATGTCAGTATTATGGGTGCTCCTATGGAAGTAAGGGAGAAGTGGTCAGTTCTGTTGGGTATATCCTCACAAGGCCTCAGAGAGGACTGAGTCTTACATGGCAGTAGGTGTGCAGTCATTGAAGGAGGGGGAGGAAGAGCGCAAGGTGTGAGTGATGGAGGGGGGAATTAGCCTGGTGAACCGAAGGACTATGCACAGCAAAGCTCAAAAGAGAGAGAGGTGCAGAGTACTCCAAGGGCCCGGAGGCAGGGGATGAGGGAGGTTGAAGAGAGAGCAACATAAAAAATAGCAGATGGTATTAACTTCTTCTACAGAAGCACTAGTAAGCAAGAAGATGTATTTTTCTCTCTGAACCTTGAGCAGACTTTGTACTTAAAACAGAGATACTAGTATATTGACATATTTAAAGATAGTCAGTCTGTTTCCTGATCATTCATAAGCCAAAAATACATCTATACTATCTTGAAACTACAAAACTGATTCTTTGTCCTCCATTTGCTCTTCAGCTGGTTGGGGTTCGTTACTTGTTGGGGTACCCAATCTTTTACTTCAAAGGGATCTGAGCCTCAGTGGCCCTGCTCGTGTGGTGTTACTAGTGTCCCCTACTGATTTTTAACACTAGCCATGGAGTGTGAGGAGGTGTACTGGGGGGTCACCTCTGTGCCTCTATTACTATACGCTACAATAACTCGTTTCCCCTTCATAGTCAGAATTAATCACCCAGCCTACACTTTAATGATCTTTTCTGTGTGCCAAGAAATGGCAAAGAAAAAGTTTCATTTTCCAGTTTAGTGGAATCTTTAATGTGTCCTTTGACTGAAGCCTGAAGGAAGATGTTTCTTTCCAATAGTCGTTCGAGGCCACCTCTCTAAGTGGGTGGAACTTGCAACCATAGTCTTAATTGTGCTAGTGACTGTATATCAGGGGAGAGCCATCCGAAAACCAGTCTTGAGCACTTTCTGCTGAAGTCAGCAAGTCCCAGGGTGTGCCCACAGGCCCTGTGCGTGGACCGGGGGAAGATGGAGCTCCTCCAGCTCCTCCAGCCGGGGCAGGGGACTCTGTCACACCAGGACCACTCACAGACTCACTGTGGGGACTCTCTCCCTTGGCGGAGTTGGGGGTAGATCTGATGTCTGGACAAACAACTGTCAGGCTTCAAGTTCTCCTTCACTTACTAGTATATCCATCGAAAATTTTTATTTCTTTTTGATTTAAAAAAATTGATTTCAGAGAGAGGAAGGAAGAGGGAGAAGGAGCTAGAAACATCAATGATGAGAGAGAATCACTGATTGGTTGCCTCTTGCATGTCCCTACTGGGGATTGAGCCCACAACCCAGACAAGTGCCCTGACCGGGAATCAAACTGGTGACCTCCTGGTTCATCGCTTGATGCTCAACCATTGAGCCACACCTACTAGGCAGTACTTTATGACTTTTTTTTAAATTTTAAATTTTTATTCCATCTGGAAGTTCAAGGTAGGGATCCAACTTTATTATTTTTCCAAATGACTAGTTGGTTGTCTGAATAACACATACCTTTTTACCACGTTATTATATAATCAAATCCTATTCATATTAGGATCTACTTCTGTACTCAATATTTTGTTTCCTTCACCATCTGTCTTTTCCTGCAGCCATAGGTTAGCAGTAAATACTGCAGCTTAAATAACTGGCAAAGTTCTCCCTAAGATTCTTCTGTATTAAAATCTTCCTGTCTCTTCTTGCATATTTTTATTCTTCCAAATTTTAAAATTCTTTTGCCAAGTTCCAAAAGATTTCCATTAGAATTTCATTGGGCTGTAATAAATTTATAGGTTGGTTTTAGGAAAAACTGACATCTTTACAAATTGCGTCTTTCAAGCCAAGAATATGACACAATTCTTCATTTATGTAAGTGTTCTTCCTCACTGGAAATTGATTAGTAGTGATATTAACTAGTGTCTTCTCAAGAGATCAAATCTTTTTGTTACCAATCCTGAGGTGAGAACCAAGTTCAAAAAAATTTAATAATTTCATGTCAGATCACCAAGTACTCTTGACAGTTAGCATAAATACTTGGATGTACTGCAGAAAATGTGTTGTGATGCTTAACTATTCAAGATTCTAGGTTGGGATTATTTTGAATTGAATATAGAGGGATGATCAGTTGGGGGAAAAAAAAACTGCTTGGAAAATTCAAAACATGCAGAGACCACCAAATATATTTTTGTTATTTGCCTATGAAAGATGTCTTTTATTGCAAAATTGTGTCATTATCTCAGAACAGGAATGGAGGCCATACTGTTATTTTGGCCACAGATTTGTAGCACACCCGAGAGTTGTTTGCATAAATGCACTGGCTAAAAGCCACATCGTCTGGTCCAAAGCTATTCTAATACTAACAAGACAATAACAAAGAATGGTTCATGCCAAGACAGTTAACACATCTTGCCAAAGAAGTCACCATGCCTGCTCTCCCTTTCCATTGTGTACCCAGTGCCCGGCACAATGCCTGGTGTATAGTGGATGCCTAACAATTTATTGAAAGAATGAAAGGAGTCTTCAGCAAGCATTTATATGTACATTTTTAAGGTAGCAATGTGAAGAGTGTGACTTGCTGTGAGCATGGCCAATGCCCTCTCCCCCATGGCAGAACCAACAACTCCTGAAGCTGAGACTGCTGAGACCTCCTGCCTGTGCCTCACTGAATAACCTTCTCCAGGGCCTGCCTTTGAAGCTTGGTCAGTCCGCTCTCCATTCCAGTGGTGGGAGCTCCCAGCTGGCTTCTGTTTTCTTCCCAGCCTTCTGTTGTCAACAGTCCTCAGCCAAGCCGTTAAACCTTGAACAACCACACTGACATTTGGCTATTGGCACTGGAATCAGAGAACGACACATTGCAATTTGAGTTTTGGAAGGATGCTGTAATGACAGGCTTTGCCTAGCTTCCTGTGCGTGATGAGCAGGCTGGTGGGCTAGAATGAGTCAGTCATAGCCAGAACGGGGCAATGACCATACTTTTCACCCACCGTTGCAGATATGAGTTCATAAATAAGCATGATGTTAGGTCGAAGGGAATGCAGAGTGGCAGAGAAGTACGTCCACCCAGGTAATCAAAGCCAGGAGACTCTGTGACTTGCATTAGGAGCTAGAATAGAGAGCTAAGGGATTGGAGACCAGAGAATTCCGAAGGCATATCCAAAATAGCTGCAGTCAAAAGCTGAGCGAAAATGAACTCTCAGAGAGACGAGGCATGGGCCGTCTGAATTTATTTAAATGTCCTGGGATGGAGGCTACATAATGGAGAATGATGTTAAAGAGATAGGCATAAGTCTTAGAAAGGTGTGGAATCTAAGCAAGAATTATTAAGACAGGAGAGTCACAGTGGGAACTCCAGAGAAGTCAGAAACAGAGTTTAAAGCCATTTATTTCAAAATAAAATTATTTCTTTGGGAATAAATGGCTGTCTAGCCAGAGTTCATGAATTCTAGTGGTGTTAGTTGAGTTAGGCAAGAAAGTAGAAACAGAAAAACTCAAATGATCAGTAGACTTTGTGGAAATTCGGATAATGCAATAATCACTTTCACAGTTCCTTTTAAATTGACTATTTAAAATGCATTATCATTACTGTCCATGACAGTTCAGTTAGAATGACAGCCTTAAAAATCACTTCCATTTTAATGCTTCTAAGAGTATGACTTACCCGGGGTTACGTAGCAGTGTGGAAGCATATCTGTAAAAAGAATTTAGTGTTTTGAAGCTCCATGATCTGCTGCTGGTTTCCATTCCTATTTGCAATTCAATTCTCAGTCTCAGCCCAGCGCTCGCTCTCTCTCTCTCTCACACACACACACACACACAATTCCCTAAATTTTAAATCTGATTTCTGAGACTAAAATTAAAATGATTTCTCTATTATCAATACTTTCAAGTAGATATAGGTAAGGTCAATAGATAAAGAAATGTATAAATATTGTTAAATGCTTTGGGAACTAGGGAGTTGAACTCAATGTTATACTCGTTTCAGGAATTCTAGAGTAACAAGACCTTTGGTTCCTCCCTTTCTCTCCTTCTTCCTCTCTCCCTTCACTCCTTTCTCCCTTCTAACTTTGTTCCAGCAAACATTTATGGAGTGCTAATGATATGTCAGCTCACGCCGGTCTCTGAGAGATACAAACACAGAAAGACAAGTTCCTAACCTCTAGCATAGGGAAAGTCAAATTTACACGAGGCCCCTCAGAGAAAAATCAAGGGGGATTTTAGTGCTGAAGGATCAGCACTCAAACATCAGGATGAAAAAGAATGAAGGCCTCCCCAGTCCCAGCAGGGGAAGCCTGAGATACGGGAAGGGAGTGAAGGGCATGTGCCTCCTCATGGGACATAAGGTCAGGGGCAGAAAGGAAGGATAAGAATACAATAGAGTGTTGTGTGGCACAGATAGGGTTGTGTGGCCACCCCCGCTCTACCCCTTCCCCAGCACACGGGGACTCTGAACTTGAAAGAGTCAAGTGACTCCCTTTGGCAGGCTAGATCATCTGAAATTGGCTAAAATAGCTGTCCTACTTATGAAGAAAATCTCTCTTTGGGTCGTAGAAAGAGGTGGAGCTTTGTAGAGTGGAGTAGAGGGAGGATTTTTTTAAAAGTGAAGATGAGTTAATAAAGTCCAGTAGGGAGGTTGTGGAGGGAGGTGCAAAGAGCAGAGACAGATTTTAGTTTTGTCTTTACCACGTATGAACTGAGCAATCTTGAGAAAATAGTTGTAAAAATTATTTATGTCCATCTATAAAAATCCTAAGTGATAGTAGCGAGTCATCCTATTTATTGAATTATGTGAACTACATTTTTCTTTTAATCCTCAACTGAAGATATGTTCTTACAACACAAATGCATCTTTTTGCAGAAGAGAGGGAGAGGGAGAGGGAGGGGGAGGGGGAGTAGAGGAGAGAGATGGAGGGGTAGGGGTAGGGGGAGGAAAAGGGTAACTTATAATGTCTGGGTAACTTGTAATTTTCCTTTTTCCAGACCCCTTGGGGCACAATCTAATATGCCTGGGCTCCAGGACAGATACCACCAATTCCTTCATTGTTATTGTTATCATGTTAATTGTTGACTGTTAACTGTCCTGCACCCACCTAAGTACATTTCTATCATTTTACTTTTTATCCAATCCCAGGGGTTACCCCGCTCTTTGCTTTCTCCCACCTCTCTAATCTATCACCAATAGATTTCATGTAACCCACCGAAATCTCTTCCTTTGATTGCAATGTCTAAAAATAGACGAGAAACCGCCATTCTCTGGAGCATTATCCCAATAAGTTGAGATTCTGCTTCCCGGTAATTGTTGACAGTTTGGCTCAAATAAACTCACAAAAATTCTTTACAGGCTGGAATGTTTTTAGGTTAACAACCTTAACTGAGCCTACCTGTCCTTTTGCATCTATGATAACATATCCTTGAAATGTCAGGGTAACTTGAAACTTCCTTTTTTTCCAGATCCCTTGGGGCTTGGACAGAGACCATAAATTCCTTCCTTGTTATTGTTATATGTCAATTGTTGATTGTTAACTATCCTGCTCCCACCTAAGTAAAAGAAGTATGTGTCTATCATTTTACTTTTTATCCAACCCCAGAGGTTTTCTGCTTTGCTTTCTCACGCCTCTCTAATCTATTACCAATGGATTTCATGTAACTTACCTAAGTCTCCTCCTTGGATTGCAATGTATAAAAGCAGATGAAAGACCACCATTCTCTGGAGCATTATCCCAATACGCTGAGATTCTGCTTCCCGGTAATTGTTGACAGTTTGGCTCAAATAAACTCACAAAGAATCTGCTTACAGCCCGGTAATTGGTTTGGCTCAGTGGAGAGAGCGTCGGCCTGTGGACTAAAGGGTCCCAGGTTTGATTCCAGTCAAGGGCATGTACCTTGGTTGCGGGCACATCCCCAGTAGGGGGTGTGCAGGAGGCAGTTGATCGATGTTTCTCTCTCATCGATGTTTCTATCTCTCTTCCTCTCTGTAAAAAAATCAATAAAATATATTTAAAAAAAGAAAAAAGGAATCTTTACAGGCTTCAATGTTTTTATGTAAACATAAGACTACAACTAATAATATATGGAGTGGCTTTAAGCAAGTAATAGAAAAGAAAAAAGTGAATTAAAGAAATCTGACTAGATAAATTCTTTCTAACTTTGAAATTTTACCACCCCAAAAATACTACATTGTAATGTTGTGGCACTTTGTAATGTTTCAAAGGACTTTCATTTGATTTATCCTTTCTGTTCCTAACAGGGACAACATGAAATGGTGAGGGGAGTGATGAATGAAAGAACTAATGAGTAAGTGGTGGCCTCAGTTCCTCGGCTACTTAGGGACAGAGCCAGGACAGAGGCTTTCTGACCCTTGCTCTGTCCACTATGCCACAGCATTCCCTGGTGCAATAAATACGAACTGTTACAGAAAATGGCTTAATACACATTGCATTTTATTCTAGATTGACAGATGAGTAATACTCAGTGATGAATTCCTTTTTTAAAAGCCCAAAGTCTTTAGTATATCCATTTTTCGAGTCATTTGTAGGGTCAACAAGGTTAGGACACACAATATTTGCAACTTTCCCCAAATTTGAAATCAGAAAAGCTGGAAAGTGGATGTTATTTTTTCCCCAACTTACAAAATATGCTAAATTCTTTGACTTAAGACACTTTTCCTAAAACCCATGAGCCTTTGAGGACATTTAGCAACTATGACTAAGCAACTCATCTTTTTAAAAATATATATATATTTTATTGAATTTTTTACAGAGAGGAAGGAGAGGGATAGAGAGTTAGAAACATCGATGAGAGAGAAACATCGATCAGCTGTCTCCTGCACACCCCCTACTGGGGATGTGCCTGCAACCAAGGTACATGCCCTTGACAGGAATCGAACCTGGGACCCTTGAG